ATCACCAATCCCTTATTATAGGAAATGTTAAAGGGACTTATTTAAGAAAAAAAGATGAAAGCTATGAATATTAAAATGGCAACAGCCCTGGCTGGTATAGCTCAGTGGATTGAGTGTGAGTCTGTGAACTAAAGGATCATGGTTCAATTTCCAGTTAGGGCACATGCCTGGGTTGCAGGCCAGTTCCCAGCAGGGGATGCAGGAGAGGCAACCATACATTGATATTTCTCCCCCTTTCTCATTCCCTTCCCCTTTAAAGATAAATAAGTAAAAACTTTTTTAAAGGTGGCAAACTCACAGCTATCAACAATCTAACCACCCCCCCAAAAACTAAGCAAACAAATGGAACAGGAACAGAATCATAGATATGGAGATCATTTGGAGACTTATCATTTGGAAAGGGGAAGGTGAAGAATGGGGAAAAGGTTCAGGGATTAAGAAAAATAATTGGTAGGTACAAAATAGACTGGGAGGTTAAGAATAGTATAGGAAATAAGGAAGCTAAAGAACTTATATGCATGACCCATGGACTAAGGGGGGTTGAGGGAGGGGTTACCAGGTAGAGGGGGAAAGGGGGAAAAATTGGGACGACCATAATAACATAATCAATAAAATATACTTAAAAAGACAAGACCTAAGTATGATCTGTTTTAAATTTTAAAACATGTCTGTCTCCCCCATAACTGACCATTCTACCCCCCAACTTCTTCAGTGTAAATGTATCTGAAGAGATACACAATAAGAAAGGGTATGGTAGTTAGCACTGATTCATCTTCATATAAGGAATTTTGAATATTTCAGAAATGATTCCCCTAGCCTATATGTATTCCCTGATTTTCTTATAATGAACATGAATTGCTTTATAATTTAAAACATCACTTTACAGAAAACTAGAGATCAATTTAAAAAGGAGTGAGTCAAGGAGACCTGGAGTCCATCTCTGAGGTCAACATCACGCAGGACTGTCACCATTTTCCCGCAAAATACCCTTTGGTGCCACTGTCAGAATTTAGAACTAGCTAGACTGCATATTAGCCTGACTCAGCATGGCATTTATTTGTGCTCCCATACTAATGCTTAAAAGCTTGAAACTCTGCACTCTATTCAATCCATTTCATCAAATATTTATTAAGCACCTACTACATGCCAAGCATGTAGGATGCAAGATTAACAAGACATGGTTCTGTTGTGATTTAGGTCACTAAGTGCACTCACAGAAGTTTGTACTTCTTTGAAAGTTCCGGATGGCTGTTCTGATATGTTTTAGAGAAAAACAACAACAGAGACCTAAGCAGTCCTCATACAAAACAGTGGCCAAGACAATTCATACTAAAAATAATCTATTCATGTTTTGACTTTTGCAGTATTTTAAACTAAATGTACAATTATGCTGAATCATAATAAAAAAAATACCCACATATTTGTGGCTCTTCACTATGATACCAACACTATTTTCCTTCTGAATCAATGGTCTTCCAACTCTTTTAGTAGAAATTATTTCAATCTGTTTATTCTTTAAGCCAAATCTCTCAATTTGACTTTGAGATCCTGACTGGAGACTCCAGTTCCCACACGAAGTAAAATTGTTTTTAAAGGCTAAATAAGGCAATATGTTTCAAACTAAAGTTGCTAAGCCCTGAGTAACCAACAATTAAGCAATTAAGCTAAAAAACATTTAAAGTTGGACTAAGTGTTTAAAGTGAATCTAAACAATTTTACTTGTTACATGTATATTAAGATATTTTTATGAATTAAATTTATATTTCAATTAGGTAATATATATACATGTCTTCATCTTTGCTTTCTATTAAATACTATTCCTATATCCAGAAGAGGTTTTTGGTTTGGTTTGGTTTTGCATGAACATTCTCTTATCATGGAGTATACATGAATCAGAGGGTAAAGGAACAGGAAGACAGATCACCCTGTACCACTATTTTGTTTTGTGGAAGAGAAAATGTAAGCCCAGAGGTAAAGCGAGTTGTAGAATTGTAAGTTGCTTTGCACAGAGCCCTATGAAATGCATAAATGGTAACTTTGGTATGAGAAGCTTGTCCCTCAGATGCCTAGTCTATTATCCTTACTTGCCCCCAGATTATTTTTTCCATTCTTTGGACTTGTACTCTGCTCAACATATTATGCATGTTGGCTTTTTTAGAGAATTTAATGGACCGATTTATTCAGTTAAATATTATTGAGCACCTACTAAGTGCCAGATACTGGTCTTGGCATTGATTTAAATGTCAACAGAAATTATTAAACAGTAAGTATCATTTCAAATATATACAAATGAGCATATTGTAGCTAGTCTTGGGGGGCAGTGTGCATGTGTGTTGGGGAGAGGGGAGAAAGGGGGAGAGATGTTTGTCTCTTTTCTTGCCTGTGTAAAATCTGCTCAATTTTCTATTTTAACTGTTGTTATAATGCCAAACATGTACTATTAAAATAAGCTTGCTTCTGAGAATTATGTCTGTACTAAGGCTCCTGGGCTTTATTTTATGATGAAATGCTAATTCCCCCTTTACAAAACAAATTCTTTATTTCATAATTTCTAATGGGATGATACTTTCAAAAGCTCTTCCTCTGATTAGATTTAGGGCATTAAACATTTCAGTACAATAATATTTTTTTCCTGGGCCTGCAGCATTTTCATTTTATCGTTAAGTAAAAAACTTTCAGTTAATTTTAAGACTGCTTTTAGACTGAAATAAAGTAATATATGCAATGCTGGTAGATACGCCAGACTCAGAAATACTGCTTTTCTTATTTAAATGATCTGTCTCCATTGTAAAACTGACAGCCAATTTTTAGTAACTCCTGATTTTTACATATTATTTCTGTTCTTTTTCATTCTATACAGCATTTTGGTGTTTTTGCTTGCTCTTCTTTTTGTAGCTCTGCCCTAGCTTCTTTTTTCCATTGCTATTTGACTTCACTATTGCTGTCAATGCATTCCTGTGCATGCGTCCCTGATTGCTCTCCCATAGCCATCTGCTCTGACTGTAGAAACAGGTGTCTTTGCTTGGTGGGACATCAGAGTCTCTGGTTCCTGCCTCATTCAGGGATGGGTGGTCCAAGAAAAGAGATACAGAATTTTTGGCCATTCATTTAGAATTTTTCTCAAATTTCCCAAAGACTAACACTGTAAACTCTGTTTTGAGGCAAACAGCAAAGAAAAAAAAAGTGTGTGTGTGTAGGGAGATTTGGGTAGTGTATCCAGTTGTGGACCCAAGGACAAATATTATCAAATATTATCAAGATAGCATGATCATATACATAGATAGTTCCTGAACTTTTATAGGGAGAGAAGGAGAGCTTAAAAAATGCCTGTAGTTTACTGGTTATTAAAATGTCTTAACACAAAGTGTCCTTGATGCTTACAAAATAACCACAATATACAAAATAAACAACTGGCTAAAGTTCCAAATCCAATTCAGAGTTCTGATATAAAATAGCACTGTGGATGCTAAAATCAACGTCAGACCAGGCCAGTTCTAAAGCTATACTTGTTGCTACTCTACTGACCAGTATTTCAAAACCTTATTAGGTCATGTGTAAGAGGAACATACCAGGGAGAACTGTAAGAGTATGTGATAAAATGCAGGAGGAAGGTCACAGCTAATCTTTATAGAAAAACCTGCCACCTTATATTGAAACATGTCACTAAAATGTTTGTAACTATTTTTTGCTTTATAAGGTCTTTCCAGAAAAAGTCAGAAGTCAAGCCATTGTTAATAAAACAAAAATGGTTTGCATAATTTCGATGTAACCTGACGGCCAAGGAGGGTGGACTAGAATGCATATGCATGAACAATGATATACTAGTCAGTGGGTAGAACCTGTAGATGCTGTTGAGTGAGCATGTGTTCTGTGTGGCTGTTGCATTCAAAATGACTGAGCAAGGACAGCAACAGATCTGCATCAAATTCTGCATTAAACTTGAACATTACTCCCTGGAAAATATTCAGATGATTCAGGAGGCCACGGCTATGAACAACTGGTGATTGGCAGCCTCATCAGCACAACCTACCGGCTCATGCATTATTATCTAGTGCAGAGTTTTTTTGGTGAGACATCAAACTACTCAGGTGACTCAGTCCCCCTACCGCCCAGATTTGGCACCCTGAGACTTCTGGCTTTTCCCAAAACTCAAATCACCTTTGAAAGGGAAGAGATTTCAGGCCATCAACAAGGTTCAGTAAAATACAACAGGACAGCTAATGACGACTGGCAGAACTGTATGAGGTCCCAAGGTGCCTACTTTAAAGGGGACCAGAGTGTCATTGTCCTATGTACAATGTTTCTTGTATTTTGTATCTTCTTCAATAAATGTCTCTATTTTTGATATTACATGGCTGGATGGATTCCTTCTGGACAAACCTGTATATTTCTGCATATATTGAAGATTAGCCAAACAAATAAATGAATTCATAGGAAGGTACAAAGGTCATTTTAAATCCTGGTTTCAGATGCATCAGTTTGTCCTGACAGCAGAAGGAGGGCTGAGACAGAAATTTGTAATAATCATAAAAGGAAAAAAAATACTGTTTACAGTTCTTTTGTCCTAAAATCAACAGCAGAACCGAACCCATCATCTCCCTGAGCCTGCATTCTCACCTTCCCAGTAAATGTTGAGCCTTTTAGCGAACAGCCCTCTCCCGTAGATGCAAGCCCTGTCCAGGAAACCGGCGTCTTTCTCAACAAGGACGGCGGGTTTCTCTCTGTTGTTGCTGCTTTCCCTCTCATCTGGGAATTGGTTTGGCTTTCAAATACCAGCCAGGGAGGGCTGGTGCGTCCCAAATTAGCGAGGCTCTGCCAAATACCAGAGGTACTTCTTTAGAGGAGGAAGGCTCCTCCTTTGGACACAAGGCGCCCCTTCCAGAGCGCGCGCTTGCAGAAACGGAAACCACCAGCTGTGCTGAAGTGAGTCAAGTGATGAAATCAAGACTATATGGGGAGGAAGCTCCTCCAACTGCTCACGAACCTCACTGGTGGCAGAAGCTGCTAAACCCTGCTCAAGGAAACCAAACCAGCCAACAGTGGCTGCCGTCACGGGGTGGTCCTCAGAAGCACTGGGCCCCTCAGCCTCTGGGCAGCGAACCCTTTCAGTTTGGCGAGCCAAAGAGGAAGGAAAGAATTGTGGAGGGGAAATCTAGACCTTCTGCTTTCCCAAGGACCCAAACTGTGCTCTGGTTACGAGGTGACCACTGCCACCAGGTCGGTGCAGGGATCCTCACTTGTAGACCGGCTGAGGCACGCCTCGCGTGTTGAGTCAGCCTCGCGGACCTAGGGGAAAAGCGCCGCGCGGACCGCGCCCCCGCCCCGCGCCGTCCGGGTCCCCACCTGGTGCGCTCAGGTAGGGCTGGGGCGGGGCGGGAGGCTTGCGCGCAGGCGCGGGACGGGGGCCTCGCCCCTGCCGACGTCGCAGACTGGAGCTCACCTGGGAGACTCCAGAGGAAGCGGAGCTTTGGTTCGGCCTCTCCTGGCAACACCGGGGGCCCAGCGGGAGGCAGGAGGCGGCGGCGGAGGAGGAGCTGGACTGAGAGGCAACTGTAGCGACAGCAACCAGAGCCGCCGCCGCCGCGCCACCTGCACCTGGCGCCCCGCCACGTCCAGCGCGCGCCCGGCCACCGCTTCCCGCCGCCCTGCCCTGCCCACCCGCCAGGTAAGCCGGGGATCGGGCTCTTGGGCCAGGAGGTCGGGAATCCCTAGGCAGAGCCGGAGTGGGGCGCTGGTAGACGGGTGCGGGGGTTCACGTGGGAGGGAGAGGGGTACGGTCCGGGTGGCCGGTTGGAGATGGTCTCGAGAGCAGCGTTTCAGTTGCCCTCTCGGGAGCGGCCGGGAGGGGCGCCCGAGGCCGGCCGGGGAGGCAGTTCCCCGGGGGCGGCCCTGTCACCCGCGGTGCCCCCCGTGAGTCTCTGTTGGAGGCTCCAGAAGAGCCGGACCCGGGCCCAAGTCCTGGTGGCCCCGAGCTTGTCCCTGTGAGAGTCGCAGTGTGGGGAGTCCGAGGGCTCGCGCAAGGCGGGAGAGTTTCCACGCGGGCTAACAGGTCGCCAGTCTCCTCCCGCCCCTGTGCCCGAGGGGGCCAAGCCCGGGGCGCGGAAGGGCGTGACTTTGCAGGCAACTTTCCCAGCCAGACCCCAGACAGTCCTGAGCTGGAAACCGCGGCCGCCCGAGCCATTTAAATGGTTTCCGCGTGGTTTGGAAAGCGCTCTGTGGTCGGGACGCGGACATCCTTCTCTCCGTTTCGACTCTGCACTTTTCCGGGTGCGCTCCCTAAGCCAGAGCTGCGCCCACTTTCCGGTTTGATCAAGGAGAGTTATTTTGTTCGTGGCAGGAGGAAACCCAACTGCCGCTCACCAATCACACACCATCTCGGTCAAGGACCTGTTGACAGAAGGACCTGTATATCTCAGCTATGGTTTGCCTGTGGCATATGACTCAAAGGTTCAAAAAAACGGTTTCAGTATCCTGCCACGTCTGAACCAGGGTGTGCCAGGCCCGAATTCCGTTCCTTGCTTAATTAGGCTTTTCTGAAGCCTAAGAATTGAGGGTGAAACTGGTGCTTACATTAGACCTCTAATTCCTTCTCTGTCAAACTCATCAAAGCACTTCACTTCGAACTCATCAAATAGCTATTTCTGTTTTTGGAACCCCCATCGAGTTGCCAATTTTTCTGATGTCTAGGCAATGTTAAGCTACCATAACTTGCTATAGAAGTTATACTACATAATGAAAACATTACACTCAGATTCTATTGTTTAAAAAGATCATAAAGTTGCTGTATTTTAATTTGAGAATTTCTCATTGTGGGCAAATCTGTTACTTCTTTTAAGGCATAAGTTTTTCTTTGAGTTTGTGACTAAAATATATGAGGTTTAAGTCATACTCTGCAATTAGATCTCTTTAAATTTAACTTTTAATATCTGAATATAGCACACGTATGTATTAAACATTCTGTACAGCTTAGTACCAAGCATCTTTCTTTTTAGATTGCTTTAGTCAGCATTTTTACATAGACATTTCGAGTAATAAATGGCAGTTCTACCACCTTGATTTGTTTTAGTTCTATCTTTGCTAATTAAATATGTATATTTTAAGATGCACACTTAACATTAAATGCCTTAGGTAACACATACCTTTAAAAAGAAAAAAAAACAGTGCAATTAAAAGCTAAAAAGTCACCCACAGCATGAGAGGACATAATTGGATATTTTCAACCAGTGCTTTCCACTTTTCTCAAAAGAGCCTTGACCACCTTCTTTCTCTTGTCTTCTGACAGAGAAATAAATATGCTCAGTACTTTTAAAAATTAAAGGTAGGTGTTGCTCCCTGAATTTAGAGTATCGATTTAATCCTCATTGATTATTGGGCCAGATGTTAGTAGAGTATCTTTACTTTTAACTCCAGGAAGAAATGTAACATGTTTGCATAGCTACAATAACAGTGTACCTCAGTGAAGCTGTCTGTAAAATTGGAAAAATAACACTTCTTTAGATTGAGGTCATGAAGCGATAAAACAAATCAGGAATATCCTCTAGACTTAGCATTCTCAGGATCCCCGGTCACCTGGAGATGGAGTCAACCCGTCCAGTTTGTGAGACACCAAAGCGGAGAGAGGTGGTTTAGTTTCAGTTCCTTCATCAAGTTAGTGGTAAGCATGGCATTATTATTCCAGTGGCTTGACCCAAGGCTCATGTTATTTTCGCTTCTTATCACCCACATTCTCACTTATCACAAGATGTCTATCTTTTTGTGTCTCAGATAGTTTGTACGGCCCTTGTAGTGACAGTGCAGTCCGTTGTTCTTTGTCCAGCTCTGATGTACTCTTAATTTCTGCTTGTCCAGGTGATACCTGACTCCAGGGAGACTGAGGCCATCATTCCTTTCCCTCTCACTGTGAATCACATGTGTATGGAAGATGCCATGTGAAGTAAGATTTTAAATCCTTTCTTGGTATTTCAGAGCCACAGTTAATTTTTTGAGTCAACATGGACAACAATTTAGTCGTCTGATCTTTTATTGTATTGGCTTAAAGTATATTTTATGAGGCAGCTACCCAGAGTCTTTCATCCATTTGCAACAGCTAGATTTTTGGTTGGCGAGCCTGTTTCCTCAACACCAGGCTTTTTTTTTTTTTTTTTAACTTTTTTGAACTGTGATTCTCAGTAAGAAATGCATTCTGTGCCTCAATCTAGTTTGTGTATATGTAAATGAAACAAGATTCACAAAATAATACTTAACCTTACAACATGAATGTTCACTTATTTCATTTTTAAAATATTGGTCTCAACATACTGGATTGACTTTATGGCCACACATGGGCTGGAATCGATAATGAAAATGATGGTATCCTATTGAATTTACATTTTTAAGGCTGGTTTTTCTGCCAGCTTACCGATACTGTCTCTCTGACTTTTTCCTCTCTACCCTTCTTCCTCTACCATGCACGTGCAAGAAAAAAACAAAATGAAGCTGTACTTTTAAGTATAGGAAATTATATGGTAATCCTTATTAAACATTCATTGGAAGGTCTGAGAGTACCTGGTGCTAGACTAAATCTCCCAAACATTAAGAACTACATAAAACCTCATTGTATGTTATTGTATCTTGAAATGGGTTACTGTGAGGGAATTTTGATGTTCAACTATCAAGTGAAAATCTGAGGGAGAAAAAAAATAATTGTGTCCAATTGGAGTGTAAATGTTATGGCTGAGTTACAGCACTATGTGGAGTTTGAAAAAATTATTGAAGTAAACAAAGGACAGTTGATTATTTGGTAGTCTGTTAATATTTTATGTGTTTTTCTTTTACTATAAAACAGATATAAGAGACAAACTGTAGGGATCATATTCTTTCCCCTCCCCAAACTTCCCTCCCCCAACAAAACCCCTGAAAAACAAACAACAAATGAGAGCGAGAGATTAAATTAGATCCCTCAAAGACCTATGGGGATATAGGCTTGGAAGCTCAGATGGGATGAGTAAGCCTTTCATAGAAGCTTTTGATTTTAACCTGCCTTCACGCTCCTGGTAGAAGGAATAGTTCTTCTAGAGAAATTATTAGTGTATTTAATTGTTTGGAAATGACCAGTGCCTAGATCATCTTCAGATATACTGAGTTCTCTGGTCCATAAAGTGTAAATAGGCTTTTGGTATGACAGATCTTTTATAGGTATAAACTGAGAAGGAAATATTTTCAACTATTTAAGTATGCATTAGTTCATGTCAGAATAATTAGTTTTATATAATTTGGATAATTTTAACACAGTTAATGTACTGCCAGTAGCACCATTGAATTCAAATCAAGGCCAGCCATGGCAAGAGACCAAAGTGCATTAACCTATGGTGAAGCAAAGACAAGTAGGACTCTGAATTGTAGGTCATTGATGACTATTGACAATAGTTGAAATCTCCTTGAGTCATTCTCTGAGTTGGGCTCCTATTTTTAGCACTAAGTAGAGAGTACGTCCCTCAGTACACATTTTATCCTATAGTTGCTTCAGTTTCAAACTGTTGAGCTAGTTTACTCATTTATCCCATTGTCTGCAGGACATCTTTAAGGTTTCGTAATGACCCGAGATTATACATGTGTAACCAGAAACTTCATCCAATGAAACAAAAACAAATTTTAAAATTCACACAAAGATAACCTATTTCACTTCATATATTTTATTTATAAGAATTAGTATTATACATTTTTCATTTCTTATTTATAATTCCAAAGCCAAAATGTCTCTGAAAATCAAATATTGTTTTGGTAACTCATTTGTCAGCAGAACATGAACTTATTTGCCACAAAACCTGAATGGGTGAACTGTCAGGAAACTGTGGTATCTTAGGGGGATGTGTCTTGCTGCAGAAATAGCACAGAGTTTGATTACATGGCACTGTCCCTGGCCCTGCTGGGGGTATACTGTTAGATTGGTATGCAAACCATGGCACCCTTCTGACTTCCAAAATATTATCAATTTAAAGCATATTTGGCTCCAGGAATTTTGGAGAATTCATTATGGATCTGTACCACTCTTGAGGTGCCATGCCAGAGATCCAGAGGTCATTTTTTTTTTTTATTCTTTTTGTTTGTTTGCTTGCTTTGGCCTCCACAGCTATCAGATCACTGAGACCCCTTACAATTTTTCACCTAATTCCCCTGCCCCCCAAATTCCTTTCCCACTTCTACTGCCCTGGTTCATGGTCTCATTAATTCTTGACTGGGATACCATGACCGCCTGCTACCTGGTAACTCAACAGAGGATGTTGTCGTACTCAGATTCATCCTCCACAGAACCTCTATAAGGTGAGGATGTCTTTAAAAATGGAAACTTAAACATCTCTCTCCTCTGCCTAAAATCCTCTAAAAACTTTCTGTAGCTTCCAGGGTACAACTCACAGCCCTTAAAATGGTCCCAGGATCTGTCTCACCCTTGTTTATTCTGCAAACCAAATTTTATATTCCAGCAACCAATTTCAGTCTTTTTTTCTATGTGCTTTTGTTTTGTTTTGTTAGTCCCCACTGCCTAGAGTACCTTCCCTGTTATCTTCACCTTTGTAATTTACTGGCTATTAAGGTTCAACTGAGGTCTTGCCTTATTTAGGAAACTGCATCCCCTTCCACCTCCACACACACCTGAGCTGGGTGATGTGTCCTGTGGCTTCTATAATGTGCTCTACATATGTGTTATCATATAGTCTGCTTTTGTTCCTGTCTGTGTGGACAGCCCCCCACCCACCCACACAGACCCTTCTTTTAGATTATTTGCAAAGCATGTAAAGTTTGTCTTTCCTTTAAGCCAATTGTAGAGTGAAACGATGGTGTAAAAGTAGCACAGGAAGAGAGAGGCATTGGGAAAGCAGTATACTTGCTTTTCAGCGACATTGTCCACAGAAATTGGGGACCAGGAAACTTATTCCACTGTACTTAATTGACCTATTTAATTTAGATTGCTGTTATTTCCATCTCATTCCTTCGAATTTCATGTTATTTTCTTTTTTGTGCTTTCGGTTCTGTTTCAAGATCTAGGTTTTACTATTTAGAAACAGAAAGTTAACTTTGTGGTTGAAATACTTGGCAGCTTTTGTTTATTAATGTTCTACAATTGAGTGTGTTACTAATGGTGTTGGGGAGGCAGCTTTTACTTAAAGAATATAGTGTAATTACTTTTTTTAAAAAGGAAAAGATTCCTAGCAGTCTTTCATCTCTCCAAGTTCTGTCAGTTTTACCTATTAAATAAGTATTTCTCAAATAGATCTACTTTTTCTCCATTCCTATCACTACCATGATTTCTTGCTGGGAGGTTTGCAATATCCTTCCTACAGGGCTGTCTGAATTCCTTGTGGATATTTTTTTGTTGGTTCCCACCCAAAACCCATTTTTGAAACATTTAGCTCTTGTCATGCTCTACCTCAAGCCCCTCATTGCTTTAGGATGAGGCAAACTGCTTAGCATGGGTTGGCTCTGCCTAAAGGCCTGACCAGGATCTGGCTCCTGCCCTCCACACACTTATCATTATTCTCTGCTGCAACTCTGCCAAGTTTAACTGCCATGGTCCTCCTGCCTCTAGGTCTTTGCAAGTTCCATTCCCCCGGCCTTGAACTCTCATCCCTCCTCTTGTACCTCCTCGTGTACCCTTGAAACTCATCTTTCAGCACTCACTGTAATTGCGGTTTTTCACTGGTCTATATTGCCCCTCTCCAACTTTGGGTCAGAACAGCAATTTTTAACCAGTGTGCTACAAGAATTTTTAAAACATGCAATGCCTGACTATTTAGTAATGTGCACTGACCTCTTTTCCCTTAGATTAAAAAAAAAATGATAGCAACCAATACAACAATAGCCACCTGGTATGAAGGGATCAAAATTATACCTATTTTTTGTTAGATTAGCAAAAATATATTTTATTATATTTAGTAATTTTAGTAATTAGTTTATGTGTGCCATGAGATAAAAAAGGTTGAAAAATCACTGAGTTAGAATGCAGATAGTAACCTAAAAATGTCATATTTAGTACTTGGGAGTATTAAGTTTAAGAAAATTAAGATTTCACAAAGCAAGCTGTCTTTAATATGTGATTCATATTTAAAAAATTCGATTTTAGTTACTAATACCTTTATTTTTATCAAGTAACAGTAGTTAATTTTTATCATCAGAGTGTTGGTCCTTATTTACATTTGAGTACTTATATTCCAAGTATATCTATTTTTAAGTATATTTTATTGATTATGCTGTTACTGTTTTCCCAATTTTTCCCCCCTTTGGGCCTCTGCCCTGCACCACACCCAACCCTCCAGCATTCCCACCCCCACTTAGTTCATGTCCATGGGTTGTACATATAAGTTCTTTGACTTCCCTGTTTCCTTTACTGTTCTGAACCTCTCCCCATCTATTTTATGCCTACCAGTTATGCTTCTTATTCCCTGTACCTTCCTCCTCATTCTTCTCCTCCCCCTCTCTACTGAAAACCCTCTATGTGATGTCCATTTCTCTGATTCTGTTTCCATTCTATTTTGCTTAGTTTTTGTTTTCATCTTTTTTTTAAGTTCAGTTCATAGTTGTGTTTGTTGTCAATTTACTGTTCATAATTTTTGATCTTCTATTTCTTAGTTAAGTCCCTTTAACATTTCATATAATGAGGGCATCATAATGATGAACTCCTTGAACTTGATTTTATCTGGGAAGCACTTTATCTGCCCTTCCATTCTAAATGATAGCTTTGCTGGATAGAGTAATCTTGTATGTAGGTCCTTGCCTTTCATGACTTCGAATACTTCTTTCCAGCCCCTTCTTGCCTGCAGGGTTTCTTTCGAGAAATCAGCTTAATGGTCTTCTGGGCACTCCTTTGTAGGTAAGTGTCTCCTTTCTTCTTGATGCTTTTAAGATTCTTTATCTTTAATCGTGGGTGACTAAATGATGATGTGCCTTGGTATGTTCCTCTTTGGGTCCAATTTCTTTGGGACTCTCTGGGCTTCCTGGGCTTCCTGGAAGTCTATTTCCTTTGTCAGATTGGGGAAGTTTTCCTGCATTATTTCTTCAAATGAGTTGGCAGTTTCTTGCTCTTCCTATTCTCCTTCTGGAACTCCTATGATTCAAATCTTGGAGCACTTCAAGTTTTCCCAGAGTTTCCTAAGCCTCTCCTAATTTTTTTTGAATTCTTGTTTCTCCATTTTGTTCTACTTGGATATTTATTTATTCCTTTTGTTTCAAATCATTGATTTGGGTCCCAATTTTCTTCCCTTCACTGTTGGTTCCCTGTATATTTTGCATTATTTCCCTTTGGGTAGTCTGCATTTCTTCCTTCATTTTGCCACTGAGCTCAATAAGTTCTGTGAGTATCCTGATTACCAGTGTGTTGAACTTTGCATCAGATAGATTGGCTATCTCCCCATTGCTTAGCTCTTTTTCTGGAATTTTGCTCTGTTCTTTCATTTGGGCCATATTTATTTGTTTAGGTGCACCTATTATGTTATAAGAGGGTGGGGCCTTAGGTGTTCACCAGAATGGGACCATCCTCTTTGCTGCATTGTGGTGCCTTCTGTGGGGGAGGGGTCAGAGAGGGAACAATGCCTTTGGCTTGCTGGGCTCTAGCCCCACTTTCCAACTAACTCTTGTAAGAGACCAGGCATTTCTCCTGCTGTGGCGACCTGGGCTGGAGGGATGGAGACTGGCAGTAGTTTACAGCTAGGTATGACCGCTGCCTTGCCCCATGGTCCTTTCTGCCTGCCAGGCTGCCAGTCTCCATCCCTCCTACCTGTCCCAGTGAATGTTTTTTTAATTCCTTCATTGTCAGAGTTCCATGCAGTTTGACTTTCTGGCACTTCTGGTTGTTTATTGTTTTCAGATTGGTTGTTATCCTCCTTTTGGTTGTGTGAAGAAGCAAAGGGTTTCTACCTAGCCTCCATCTTGGCTGGAACTCCCAAGTATATTTTAAGACAGTGTTCCTCACTTTTTTTGGCACCATGGATGGTTTCCTGGAAGGTGGGGATCAGGAGGTGGAGCTTCTGTGAGCTTTGCTCTTCCCCCTGTGGGCGGGGCAGGAAGGCTGAGGTCATTTCATATAACTAAGGGCATGACCTCATATAATAAGGGCGTGGTAATGATGAACTCCTTGAACTTGACCTTATCTGGGAAGCACTTTATCTGCCCTTCCATTCTGCCACTGTGGGTGGGTTGGGGGTCAGGGAGACAGAAGGTGGGGCTCAGGCAATTTTTGCCTGTTCCTAAGAGTCTGCAGCCTGGGGGTTGGGGACCCCTGCTTTAAGCAACTCACATGAATTAATCATTTAGCCTTCAAAGCAACCCTGAAGGCATGAATTATTTTTCTCCCTATTTTAGAGACAGGAAAAATGAGGAAGAAATTTGCCTCTATTATAAGGTTAGTGAAATGTCAGAGCCAATATTTAAATCTAAGCAGCCTGATTCTGTACTTGTATCCTACTTATATGTAAATAAAGTTTAAAAGGATTATTAAAGGCTTAATAACAACCACAGCAACAAAAATCCAGTCAATGCTTATCTCCCCTAGTCTTGCTGACTAAAGGCAATTGCTTGTACTACTCTGAGATGTTTCTTCCATTATTTACCTTTTGAAATAATATGCTTATCCTGCTACTTCTTAATGTATTGAAATTTGACATTATATACTAACTTCCCATTTTATGAGATAAGTATTTAGCTTTCACACACATATTCCCTTACAGTATAATTGTCACATTCTTTTGTTTGTATTTTAGTATTTATTGATTTTGATTATGTAAATGTTCATTACTGAGCTAAGCAAATGTATTAAGAGTGTGATTCCTTACTTGTAGATTTTTTAAACCCTAGAGTTAATAATTAACTAATTTAAGCAAAGAAACTTGCTTTCTGTTTTCATATGTCAATTTTTATTTCCACAGACTTCGACAGCTCAGTATGATTTTTCCACATAATTGAACCTGTCATGTATCTTGTTCTGTTCCTGGCTCCGTCTGTCCTCTTGTTCCAGTTAGGACTATTCCTTTCCAGGCCTATTGCATAGCTGTTGTTTGGGATTTTTATTTGCTGATAATTCTGTTGCAGTCTCTCTTTCTCAGAGACTATGGCTTTTGCTATTTACTCACTCATTTGAATGAAACACATTGCCCAGTAGCTTCCTGAGAAATGCTGAATGAAATCAAGAAATTTGAAATATTGACTGTCAGAAAACCTTTATTCTACCTTCATGTTTTCTTTTCTTTTTACCCCCAAAGTTAATTTTTTTATTGTATGGTTTTTCCATTTACCATCTAGTCACATTATACCCCCTCACCCGCCCCGTAGTCACCACGCTGTTGTCTGTGTCCATGAGTCCTTTTTCCTTTTTGCTCAATCCCTCCACCCCCTCCACTTGCACCACCCACTAGCTGTCATCCTGCGATCTATGAGTCTTATCTCTATTTTGCTTTTCAGTTCAGTTTTTCATCAGATTCCATCTATGAGTGAAATCATATGGTATTTCTCTTTCTCTGAATGACTTACTTCACTTAGCATAATGTTCTCCGGGTCCATCCATACTGTTGTAAAAAGTAAACTTTTCTACTTTTTTACAGCTGAGTAGTATCCCTTTGGGTAAATGTCCCATAGCTGTAAATCCACTCATCTACTGAGAAACACTTAGACTGCTTCCGTGTCTTGTAGATTTTAAATAATGCTGCAGTGAACATAGGGTTGCTGACCATATTATGCCGTGTATAATGCACACCTTTTTGCCAAAATTTTTGAGGGAAAAATAAGGATGTGCACTAGACAGTACTAATTATCTGTATAAATCTTTATTCTTTTATTTATGCTTATGCATTGAGAATGTAGCTCTAGAAAGCAATAACAATATCTGTATGCAAAATAATACTCTGAGATACAATAATCAGTTTTGTTTCTAAATACAAATTATAAAAAAACAGAATTAAAAAATTAAAACAAAAAATTTCTTTCTTGAAAGTTTGGTCCAAAAACATGGGTGTGCATTATATTCAGCAAATTATGGGTATGTCCTTTCAATTAGTGTTTTGGGTTCCTTCAGATACATTCCCAGGAGTGGGATCACTGAGTCAAAAGGCTGATCCATCTTTAATTTTTTGAGGTATCTCCATACTGCTTTTCACGGTGGCTGCACCATCCTTCTTTCCCACCAACAGTGCACAAGAGTTCCAATTTCTCCACATCCTTGCCAGCACTTGTATATTGACTTATATATGATAGCCATTCTGACAGCTGTGAGGTGATATCTCACTGTGGGGTTTTTTTGTTTTTTTTTTTTTTACTTTTCTTTACTTTTCCACTGTGCAGCCCGCTTCAGTGCCTGCAGCCCATGAGCAGAGGCTGGGCCGTGGTTCCGGGCCAGGGCGCTTTGGCATGGGGCACTGTGAGAGACCTGGGGAAGCGGGCCTGCCATAAATCCAAGCCCATGCATCACTGTGGTTTTAATTTACATTTCTCTGATGGTTAGTGATGTTGAGCATCTGTTCATATGTCTATGGGCCGTTTGTATGTCCTCTATGAGAAGTGTCTACTCAAGTTCTTTGTTAATTTTCTAATGGAGATGTTTGTTTTTTTTGGTGTTGAGTTTTGTAACTTTTATGTAAGTTTTGGATATTAACCCCTTATCAGGTATATCAGTGAATATATTCTCCCATTCTGTGGGTTGTATTTTTATTTTGTTGATGATTTCCTTTGGTCAAAAACTTTTCAGTTTGATGTAGTCCCATTTGTTTATTTTTTCTTTTATTTCTCTTGCCTGGGGAGATATTTCCAATAAAATATTGCTATGAGCTATGTCTGACATTTTGTTGCCTATGTTTTCTCCTAGGATTTTTTATGGTTTTGGGTCTATCATTTATGTTTTTAATCCATTTTGTATTTATTCTTATGTGTAGTGTAAGAAGGTGGTGTAGTTCCATTTTTCTGCACATGTCTGTCCAATTTTCCTAACACCATTTATTCAATACACTGTCTTTAGCCCATTGTATGTGTTTGGTTCCTCTGTTGAATATTAATTGACTATAAAGGTGTGGGTTTATTTCTGGGCTGTCTATTGTGTGCCATTGATGTATGTATCTGTTTTTAACCAGTACCGAGCTGTTTTGATTACTATGGTCTTATTACATAGTTTGATATTAGGTAGCATCATTCCTCCAATTTTGTCTTTCTCAGGATTGCTGTTGCTATGCAGGACCTTTTGTGGTCTCATAAATTTTTGGAATATTTGTTCTGGTTCTTTGAAATATGTCATTGGAATCTTGGTAGGAATTGTCTTGAAACTACAGTTTGCACAGTATGTGCTTCCACTCGTATCTTCTTTGGTTTCTTTTTTCAGTGTCTTATAATTTTCTGAGTAGAGGTCTTTTACATCCTTGGTTAGGTTTATTCCTATGTATTTTATGCTTTTTGAAGCAATTGTGAATGGGATTGTTGTTGTAATTTCCCCTTCTGTTAGTTTGTTATTGGCATATAAAAATACAACTGATTTCTGGATCTTAATTTTGTATTCTGCTACTTTCCTGAATTCATTTATCAGTTTTAATAGTTTCTTGGTGGAATCTTTGGGATTCTCTATGTACAGTATCATGTCATCTGCAAATAAAAATAGTTTTACTTCTTCCTTTCCAGTTTGGATGTCTTTTATTTCTTCTATTTGTCTGATAGCTATGGCTAGGTCTTCCAGTATTATGTTGAATAAGAGAGGTGAAAGCAAACATCCCTATCTTATTCCTGATCTTAAAAAGGAATTCTGTAGTTTTTGCCCATTGAGGAAGATGCTGGCAGTGGGTTTGTCATATATGGCCTTTATTATGTACAGGTATATTCCCTCTAATCCCACTCTGCTGAGAGTGTTTATCATACAGCAGTGCTGGATTTTATCAAATGCCTTCTCTGCATCTATCAATATGGTCATGTGGTTTTTATCCTTCATTCTGTTTATGTGGTGTATCACATTTATTGAGTTGTGAATGTTTTACCAACCTTGCATTCCTAGAGTAAATCCCACTTGATCATGGTATATGCATCTTTTTGATGCATTGCTGTATTCAGTTTGCTAATATTTTGTTGAAGACTTTAGTGTCTATGTTCATCAGGGATATTGGCCTATAATTTTTTTCTTCATAGTGTTTTTGGAATTAAGATAATTCTGGCCTGTGCAAATGAGTTTGGGAGCCTTCCCTCCTCTTGAATTGTATGAAATAGTTTGGGAAGTAGAGGTATGAGTTCTTCTTGGGACATTTGGTAAAATTCACCTTTCAAGTCATCTGGACCAGGGTCCATGTTTGTTGGGAATTTTTTGATTACTGCTCCCATTTCACTAGGTATAATCTGTCTATTCAGATTATCTGACTCTTCCTGATTTTGTTTAGGAAGATTATAGGATTCTGGGAATTTGCCTATTTCATCCAGGTTGTCCAGTTCGTTGGCATATAGTTGTTCATAATATTTTCTTATAGTCTTTTTTATTTCTTTGATGTCAGTTGTTATTTCTCCTCTTTCACTTCTGATTTTACTTATTTGAGTCCTCTGTCTTTTTGTCTTGATGAGTCTGGTTAAAGGTTTGTTCATATTGTTTATCTTGTCAAAGAACCAGCTCTTGTTCGTTGATATTTTATATCCTTTTTTTAGATTCTATTTTGTTTCTTTACGCTCTGATCTTTATTATTTTCCTCCCTCTACTCACCTTGGGCTTTGTTATTCCTTTTTAAGTTCCTTTAAGTTAGACTGTGAAGTTAGACTGTTTATTTGAGCTTTTTTTTGGTTTGTTTTTGAAACAGGCCTGTAATGCTATATGAATTTCTCTCTTAGGATTGCTTTCTCTGTGTTCCACAGATTTTGGGTTGTTGTGTTCCCCTTTTTGTTTGTTTTAAGGTATTTTTTTATTTTTTCCTTGATCTCATTGTTGATCCATTTATTGTTTAATAACATGTTATTTAGATTTCATGTCTTTGTGTTTTTTTAGTGTTCTTCTTTTGACTGATTTCAAGTTTTGTAGCATTGTGGTCAAAGAAGATGCTTGATATGATTCCACTTTTCTTGAATTTATTAAGGCTTGTTTGTTGTTCTAAAATGTGGTCCATCCCAGAAAACATTCCATGTGCATTTTAAAAGTATGTATATTCTGCTGCTTTGGAGTGAAATGAATTTACTTGATCTAGTATGTTGTTTAAGGCCACTGTGCCCTTGCTGATTTTCTGTCTGGAAGCTCTATCCATTGAAGTCCATGGGGTGCTAAAATCCCCAACTATGACTGTATTTCTGTAGTCTCTCCCTTTATGTCCGTAAAGATTTGCCTCACATATTTAGGCACTCCTATGTTGGGTGCATAAATGTTCACTAGGGTTATATCCTGTTGTTGGATTGTTCCCTTTATCATTATATAATGCCCTTGTCTCTTGCTATAGCCTTGGTTTTAAAGTCTATTTTGTTGACTGTAAGTATTGTTGCTTCCGTTTTTTCTTTTCCGTTTTCATTAAATATCTTTTTCCATCTCTTTAGTTTTAGTCTGTGTGTATGTTTTGATCTGAGATGGATCTCTTGGAGGTAGAATGTGTATGGGTCTGGTTTTCATATCCATTCAGCTACCCTATGTGTTTTGTTTGGAACATTTTAATCACTTACATTTAAAGTGATTATTGATAGATACATATTTATAGCATATTATTGTTATATTATTTTCCTCTGTTTTTTTTGTCTTTCCCACCTTCTCCTTTTCCATCTCTTTCTCCTCCTCCTTGTCCTTGCATGCCCTTTAACATTCGTTTCAGTACTTGTTTGGTGTTAATACATCCTTTAGCTTTTTTGTGTGTGGAAAGTTCCTTATTTCCCCTTCAGTTTTAAATGATAGCCTTGCTTTGTGAAGTAGCTTTGGTTGTAAGTCCTTGCTTTTTGTCACCTTGAATATTTTATGCCACTCCCTCCTCACCTGATGTTTTTGAGAAATCAGATGACAGTCTAATAGGTGCTCCCTTTAGGTAATTGTCTGCTTTTCTCTTGTGGCTTTTTAAGATTGTCTCCTTGTCTTTAAGCCTTGCTGTTTCAATTATGATGTGTCTTGGTGTAGGCCTCTTTGGGTCTGATGTGCTTGGGACTTTCTGAATTTCCTGGACTCATGTCTTTTTCCTTCGCAAGGTTGGGGAACTTTTTGGTCATTATTTCTTTAAATAGCTTTCAGCCCCTCCTCATTCTCTACTCCTTTTTGTGTTCCCCCATGATGCGGATGTTGTTACACTTCACGTTGTCTCAGAAGTTTCTTAAGCTCTCCTCGTTTTTTAAAAATCTTTTTTCTTTTTCCTGCTCTGCCTGGGTGTTTTTTCTATCTTGTCTTCCAAATCACTGATTCTATCCTGTGCTTCATTTGACCTACCATTTATTCCTTCCAGTGTACTATTTATTTCAAACACTGCATTCTTTATTTCTGGCTAGTCCTTTTTTATGGTTTCTTTGTCTTTTTTCATGCTGTTGAGTATCCTTATATCATTACTCTAAACTCTGTCTGGTAAATTTCTGGCCTCCATTTCATTAGTTCTTCTGGAGAATTCTCTTGTTCCTTCATGTGGCCTGTTTTTTTTGTTTTCCCATTTTGGCTGCTTCTTTGTGTTTGTTTCTATGTAATGAGTGTGTCTGTAAGACTCTGGTGTAGGCCTAAGTCAAACCCTGCCTGTGACTGGCCCTGAGCCTTGTGTTTGGAGCTATTGGTGATCCACAGCTCGTGGTTCCCTCTGCTGGGCCTGGGTTTGTGCAGAAAGAACTAGGTTATAGCAGCAAGGCCAGCTTCTATAGGCAACAGGCCCAGAGGATCTGCCTCTGTCTGTAAGCTTTTCGTTGGGTCAATCAGTGAATATCGTCCTGCTGTACTCCTCAGTAATTGGGCTTATGCACCACAGGGTGGGGCAGTTGCTGCCCCTCAGGCTGATGCCACTTGGAGAGGTGTGTTCTTCCTGAGAAAGATGGCTTCTGCAGTATGGGGAATGACTCAGCACAGGGATCCTGGCAGCTGTTCCTTCAGTGCACTCCCCAGAGCCATCATCCCCAGACTGTCCTCAAGCATCTCTAGTCCACTCTGCCCTCCCTCTCCTGGAGCCCAGGAGAGTGGGCCCTTTAAGAGGCTCTCTGTGTCTCCAGCCATCTCTCCCTGGTGGATAGAAATCCTGCTGCTTTTCATAGCCATGTATTTGAGTTCCATTTCTGGTTTTGATGCTATATGCTGGGGAGCCCAGCTTGCAGTTTAGACCCCACACTTCTCAGGGGGAACCTCTTAGTCACTTAAATATACTTGCAGCACTTTAGCTGCCACCAGTGGGAGCCCAGTCATCTCTCTTGTGCTTCTTCTGCACCTTTTACCAGTCTTGTTGTGGTGATATGGCTACTTCTGTCTGTCTGTGGTTATAAGGCTTCCCTCCAGCTGGTGTTCAGTTGGTTATTCAGG